CAATCCTAGCCTGATACCCACCCCACCCCCAAGACCCTGTAAGTCTACTTTAACATGTAAGAATTCCTTTGGAAACTTCCTATATCTCTACCCCCCAAGATACATGTTGGCAATCATCCCCCAAGCATATGGCCCACCGATAATACATCTGAAGGGTCTCATGACTAAGGTTTTATTAGACATTAATAAATGACCTTTACCCAACAATAGCTAGCCCCCTCAAGGTGCTGGAAACCTTGCTTCCAAATGCCTTAGAGACTTACACTGTCCCTAACCCCCTCCCAACTTTAAAGTATACAATGGGCCACTCCTCATGACCCCGGTGAGGCTCTTCCTGCCCATGGGTCCTGTCCCCATACTTTAATAAAACCACCTTTTTGCACCAAAGGACTCAAGAATTCCTTCTTGGCCGTTGGCTTCGAACCCTAACATTCTTTCCTACATCACTCTCAGTATGAAGGGGTCATATAGAGGAAGAATCTTCAGAAACGGTCGAGGACTTAAAAGTAACCTATTCCATCTTGACAACTAGCGCTGGGTGTACAGGACTACGAATTCCTGTTTCAGTAAGATAGAACCAGAAAACTCCACTGCAGTCCTTTTTCTCCTTGCCAGCCCTGTGTTATGTTACACCACACCTGATCTACCACCAGATGATGTAAGGGGAGCCAAACACACCATGACACTGCTAAAGAAAGAGGGACAGAAAAGCCATCTGTATTCTAAGTACGAGCTGCTGCCATGAAAAATTCAGATAATCAGCTTCAATAATTTAAAATGCTTCCTTCATAAACAGATTACTCAACATGCTACCTTCGAGTATCTGACAATAATCAAGAATAATCTAGTTGCTATCATCAAGGACAGTAATGTGACCAGCGTAAGAGTCTCATGCATGCAATATTTTGAAATCTCAAAGTGGAAAGTACAGAAACTTATGGTCCTTATTGCTGTTATCCACCTCATCTCTTCCTAGGGTTTTTGAAAAATCACGCATGTTTAAAGAAGAACCCTTATCTTTTAGAGATACGTACTGAAATACATATGGATGAGACGTGATGTCAGGCATGCACTTCCTACACAGCGTGAAAGTGGGGCTCCACAGACGAACCAAGACTGCTGAAACTGAGCAGCGGTTTGGGATGGGGGTTTCACTAAACTACTCCCTCTATTTCTGTATATGTTCAGGACTTTTCATTTTAAAAATTTAAAGATTTTATCTATTTATTTGATATATATAGAGAGAGCACAGTAGGCAGAGAGGCAGGCAGAGGGAGGGAGAAGCAGGCTCCCTGCTGAGCAGGGAGCCCGATACGGGGCTCAATCCCAGGACCCCGGGATCATGACCTGGGCTGAAGACAGATGCTTAACGACTGTCTTTTCAAAAGATTTTATTTACTTATTTGATATATAGAAAGAGCACAGTAGGCAGTCATTTTAGTTTAAAAATAGGGGCGCCTGGGTGGCTCAGTCGGTTAGGTGGCTGCCTTCGGCTTAGGTAGTGATTCCGAGATCCTGGGATTGAGACCCGCATCGGGCTCCCTGCTCAGCGGGGAGCCTGCTTCTCTCTCTGCCTGCTGCTCATCCTGCTTGTGCTCGTGCGTGCACTCTCTCTCTATGACAAATAAATAAATAAAATCTTTAATAAAAAAAAATTTTTTTTTAAGTTTAAAAATACTCATCACGGGGCACCTGGGTGGCTCAGTCGGTTAAGCGTCTGCCTTCGGCTCAGGTCATGATCCTGGCGTCCTGGGATAGAGCCCCACGTCCGGCTCCCTGCTCAGTGGAGAGCCTGCTTCTCCCTCTTCCTCTGCCTGCCACTCTGCCTACTTGTGCTCTCTCTCTGTCAAATAAATAAATAAAATCTTAAAAAAAAAACCCAAAAAACAAATAAAAATACTCATCACGAGGTGGAATTCTTCAGTTTTCTTTAAACTACTTCACTATCAGGGCACCTGGGCGGCTCAGTCAGTTAAGCCTCTAACTTTGGCTCAGGTCATGACCCGAGGGGGTGGCAGCGAGGGTAGTTCCTGGGATCCAGGTGGTGGTAAAGGGCTCTGCGCTCAGCGGGGAGTCTGCTTCTCCCTCTCCCTCTGCCCCTCCCCCTGCTCCTGTGCTCTCTGTCTCCCTCTCAAATAAATAAAATCTTTAAAAATAAATAAACTAGGGGCGCCTGGGTGGCTCAGATGGTTAAGCATCTGCCTTCGGCTCGGGTCATGATCCCAGGATCCTGGGATCGAGCCCCGCGTCGGGCTCCCTGCTCAGCGGGGAGTCTGCTTCTCCTTCTCCCTCTGCCTCTCCCCCAGCTCATGCTTTCTCTCTCTCTCTGTATCTCTCTGTCTCAAATGAATAAATAAAAAATCTTTAAAAAAATAATAAATAAATAAATAAATAAACTACTTCACTATCAAAGAATACTTTTTCTCTTTGCTCCTCTATAATGCGTTCTGACATCAGACCTGGAAAAAGTACTCCTGAGTCATAATAAAGGCTAGCAAAGCTTATACAGGCACAAAAATCAACCTTTCATTACTCTGTAAATTATCCGCTTCAAAACAAGAGCTCTCCTCCACCATCCCAGGAAGCTTGTCCAAGTCCAGGTACTACGACGACCACACCCAGCACTACTTCCAGCACAGTCTGGGTCAGCAGACAGGAAGGATGCAATGCCACAGATCTGCCTACACACGTCCATGCCACCAAACCCCAAGTCATCCAGGCTTTGCCCCCAAATTTAAAATTCCACCAGGAGAGGGGCACTTGGGTGGCTCAGGTTTCGGCTCACATCATGATCTCAGGGTCCCAGAATGGAGCCCCGCTGGACCCCCTGCCCTCCCTTGCCCACCCCCTCATTTCGTGAGAGCTCGCTCTCTAGCACGCGCACTCTCTCTCTCTCCCTACAATAAATAAATAAAATCTTAAAATTCCACCAGGAGCTTTCAGAGCAAAGAATTTTGACCCATTTCTACTTTGTGATTACAAGAAAGCTCAGCCCCAAATAGCACCGAAAGTTTTTCCCACTGTGATCAATAAGGACAGTTACAAAAGGTGTTTCTCAAATGAAAAGGATTTTATGGAAGTCAGTAACATGAAATTTGTGGAAATATTTTTAGTGACCAAATCTAGTAAGCTGAGAGCCACCTAAAGGTTATGAGCGCATCCCTGCTAGAGCACTGACAATCTGTGAGGGCTTGTGAAAATTATTCAGCCTTCCTGGGCTTCCAGTTCCTTACCTGTAGAGTGAGATGAAAACCACCTGCCTACCAGGGCCTCAGAAAAAGGTGATGATCCAGAGAAAACATTCGTGAGCTTCATATAAGCCACAGAGTACTCTCTCAGAGTCAGATTATGATAAAGAAGAAATGTAGTATTTCCCTAACACCTCTGACTGCTGTAATGAGGAAGGGTCTGTTTGGAGAGAAGACAAGGCACTAGTTAAAAAAAAAAAAAGGAGGGGTGCTCTCTAGCCCAGCGGCACAAAGGAAAAGCAGGAAAAGAAACTGGACCAGCAATCACAATCCGCGCTGCCCATATGGACACTATCAGTCATATATCTCTGTGCCCATTAGACTAAGAGGTGGGAGACCCGTCGCAGCAATGTCTTCCGACACAGAGCTAAAATACAAGCAGTACGCTGATCCCAACATTCAGGATGCCCACAGAGACATGCACATCTTCCCGGGCTGACAACTCAGCCCAAGGAGCCGTGATCAGGAGGACCCATATCTTTACACTAACAGCTAGAGGGACACTGTGGATACTCAGGGGGATACATGGATCCCTTATAAAGGTTTCCACATGTTTTAACTGACACCCTAAATAGCAAGGGATCAATTTTACCTCTTTTCTTAAAGACCGCTAGGCTTTTTTTTTTAAAGATTTTATTTTTGAGAGAGAGAGAGAGACAGTGAGAGGGAACACAAGGAAGGGGGAGTGGGAGAGGGAGAAGCAGGCTTCCCACGGAGCAGGGAGCCCGATGTGGGGCTCGATCTCAGGACCCTGGGAATATGACCTGAGCCGAAGGCAGACACTTAACAACTGAGCCACCAAGGTGCCCCAAGACCTCTAGGCTTAAACACACTGTGCACTTGAACACCCACTTAACAAATATCTGCAAGGTGAGAAATCAATAAAATATAAAAACTAGCAAATCAGCATTTTAGGGACTTTCTACTCTTCAGGAAAATATTTAAAAGTGAACACCAGTAACCTGTGATGTCTCCCGGGTTATCAGCAGAACACAAAGCGTGATGGTGTCTCTCTCCAGGTAAACTTGCCTAAGTGCTGAAATACAGGCCAAGGACAAATCTTGAGGCCCCCCTTCTCCCGGGGGTGGGGTGCGACCTCCGACACACGGCACTGTGCCTTCTCATCACCTGTCTACACGCCTCACTCTCGGACAGGAGAGGAGCTGGCCCTGATAGAGCTCTGCTTCAGTCTGTACCCTCACCCTGCTCTCCGGCTCATTCCCCTTCCCTTCTGCACACAAGATTAGAAGCGAAAACTTTCAGCGTTCACGGTCTCCCAAACATTAAAAGATGAACCTAGGCAGGACATATACCAATCACACAGTAAAGTGTGCTCAAAATAGGTGTGTGTGGATTAGCATGACGTTCAGCGACCAGGCGCAGTCTGGCCTCTGCGGTGGGAAGGACCGAATGACTTCAGCCAAGCAGCCCTGGGCCCTCAGTTGGGGGAGTCGCTGGGCACGTCTTCATTCAGGGGGCCCTTTTACCAAGCGGCCTGGGGGCAGGTCCCCACGCCAGGAGCATATCGCCAGGAGCTCAACCCCGTTTGGGAAAAATCCAGCTTGTGTGGTTCCGGAGGACGCGGTTGGGGGCAGGGGGGCAAGGAAATAAAGTAAGTCTCGGGAATAGAAGCTCCCTCGACGAGGGAAAGGAACGTCAGCGAGATTGAGCCCGAGCTGAGGACACAAGGGAAGAAAGCGTGCACTCCCCGATCTGACGGACGGCAGGGCCCGGGAGCGCTCGCCCCGTTACCTGCTCTGCCCCGTAGGCCGTGGCGAACTGGACGAAATCCTCGATGCGAACGAAGCCGTCCCCATCGCCGCCCAGGGCGTCGAACACGGCTCGAAGGCGGGGGCCGTCCTCCGCACACGCCGCGGGCTCGCTCGTTAGGGGGCAGGTCTG